CTAGATACAACACACAGAGCTACGAAAAAAAGGAATAATCCATTGTGGAAACTGCAGCATTGGTTTGATGCGGGGAATGTATGTGAGAACACCATTTATCGAGCCTCCACACGTGATAGTTACCATGTAGCAACGTCAAAGCCACCAAAACCCCAAAGCTAGCCAACGTGTCGGTCTAAGAAGCCCAATGTACAACATTAAGCATGTTCAGCAGACTGCGGAATTGTCATGGTTGTGAACAGAGTCACTCCCTGGAGTCTTCAATGCGGCCTCGCGCAGTGTCCGAACTCTTGGCGGAAGACGTTACGGTGGGTTCTTTTCCTAATTGTAATTTCTGCTTTAGCGGCATTCAACGATATCACAGGCGAACTGGTGTTGACGGCAATAACTAAGGAAGTGCCGTGTCTCAAGGGATTCCTCGAAGTTCCCCGTAAGGCACTCTGTTTCTCTGATGATCCAGGGACGCTCGAACTTCATCGTCTGCTTCGTGTTTAGATTGTTTAGCGTTATTGCTGATTCTGTACGTGTTAGTGCCGTTGGCGGGTTCAGGGTCGGCGCGTTCAGGCCGACAGAATCCTGAAGAACTGACGAACTCGGAGCGCCGCAGCTGCAAGTAACTTGTCAACCAGCAATTTGAACCTCAAATTATTCTTTAAAACAATTTTGCACCTTTGTTATGACTAATCGAGACTCAGCAGGGCCAGGATAGATTAACACGATGCGAACTCGTTCGCATTGCAGGTAATAGCCCTTGTGTGGGGGGTATCGAGCATCACGCTTGTGTTGTGTCGTCAGCCCAGCATTTATGAAAATAAATCCACGTAAATGCCACCACAATCTATCATGAGAAGCTCGAAAAACCGCTGAATAACGGTGTAGCCATCGTGCTTAACATTCTGTGGTTCTGCTCAGGCCCTGTGGAGCCTGCAGGAATCTCCGCACTTCAAGCGGAAATTGAGCGACTTAAGCGCTTGAACCATTACAAATACATGTTTTTTCACAATTGTCATAAGATGGGCATTATTAAGCTTGCGGGTTTGGCTCTTCGGGTCTGCTTGGGCAGGAAAAAAGTCCCCACTGGGATCACTGCTTACCCGCTCACCCGATCCCCACGTTCAGCCCTGGGGAGCGAGTGAGCAGTGACCCTTCCACCTAGCCCCCGCCTCACCCTTCCGCAAAATATCCTTGTTAAAAGCTTTGGGCATATCACAGATAGCAACCGCTCCCCTGCCCTAGCTCAAGCTCTTCTGAGGCTACCGCTTTTTCCGTTTTAGCACTATCTAGTATAATGCGGTCGTGGAAATGTTTGAAACGTTCTGATGCACTGGCAGTGTGGCCTACGATGAAAGCTCGTTCCCGTGAGTGCACTGATTATGCGTAGCAGAGTAGACACAAGTGCAGGTTTTCGGCTCTTTCACTGTAGCGGATTAAAAGAAATCTCTACCTTACGGTTGCGTCTTTTGGAATGCAAATTTCTGTGATACAGTTTCTTCCTCGAATCACTTTGAGCTGAATCCTAAAGCGTAAGAGAGCTTAACGCACCCTAGACCTGGAGGTGGGACGCCTAAAAGAGTAGATCACACGGTTTCCTCACGGCTAGTGCTAAATGCTGGACTTTGCACCCCGTGGGTTCTGAAAACCGGCAGAATTGAACACGCATTGCTGAGCAGTTTGTCGTTCACCATTCAACTCTGCGAGCTACTGAGGCTCATCCATTCAAATACGCCACTAGATACAACACACAGAGCTACGAAAAAAAGGAATAATCCATTGTGGAAACTGCAGCATTGGTTTGATGCGGGGAATGTATGTGAGAACACCATTTATCGAGCCTCCACACGTGATAGTTACCATGTAGCAACGTCAAAGCCACCAAAACCCCAAAGCTAGCCAACGTGTCGGTCTAAGAAGCCCAATGTACAACATTAAGCATGTTCAGCAGACTGCGGAATTGTCATGGTTGTGAACAGAGTCACTCCCTGGAGTCTTCAATGCGGCCTCGCGCAGTGTCCGAACTCTTGGCGGAAGACGTTACGGTGGGTTCTTTTCCTAATTGTAATTTCTGCTTTAGCGGCATTCAACGATATCACAGGCGAACTGGTGTTGACGGCAATAACTAAGGAAGTGCCGTGTCTCAAGGGATTCCTCGAAGTTCCCCGTAAGGCACTCTGTTTCTCTGATGATCCAGGGACGCACGAACTTCATCGTCTGCTTCGTGTTTAGATTGTTTAGCGTTATTGCTGATTCTGTACGTGTTAGTGCCGTTGGCGGGTTCAGGGTCGGCGCGTTCAGGCCGACAGAATCCTGAAGAACTGACGAACTCGGAGCGCCGCAGCTGCAAGTAACTTGTCAACCAGCAATTTGAACCTCAAATTATTCTTTAAAACAATTTTGCACCTTTGTTATGACTAATCGAGACTCAGCAGGGCCAGGATAGCTTAACACGATGCGAACTCATTCGCATTGCAGGTAATAGCCCTTGTGTGGGGGGTATCGAGCATCACGCTTGTGTTGTGTCGTCAGCCCAGCATTTATGAAAATAAATCCACGTAAATGCCACCACAATCTATCATGAGAAGCTCGAAAAACCGCTGAATAACGGTGTAGCCATCGTGCTTACCATTAGTTGATTCTGCTCAGGCCCTGTGGAGCCTAGAGGAATCTCCGCACTCCACGGGAATTGAGCGACTCAAGCGCTGAGAGCATTGTAGATACACATAGTTTCACAATTGTCATAAGATGGGCATTATTAAGCTTGCGGGTTTGGCTCTTTGAGTATGCTTGCCCAGGGTCGCTCTCCCCACTAGGGTCACTTTTAACCGGCTCCGCCGGGCTGATCCTTCCACCTAGTTTCCGCTTCACCTTTCCACGGACAGCGCCTTGTTAAGAGCTTTGGCTATATAACAGATAGCGTCCGTGAGGAAACACTGGTTGTTCATTAGTCCTGAGTGCCCCTTGCCGCAGAGCCGGAGCGGAGCAACTGTATTGGTGACGGTCTGCAGGAAAATAATGCTGAACACAAACTCACCGTTTTCATGGTTTTAAGCGTAAAACTATCGAATAAAGAAGTACACGTGCACTACAGTTAGAGCCCACGCAACAGTAGGAGCACGCCCTCACGTGTCTCTGACCTGCTTTGAATGCAATAAATACAAATCCAACTGGGATTTTGTAATGATCCTGATTCCTTCCTTTCCCTAGCTTAAACACTACATTCCTAAGATTGAGGCAAGCTATGTTGCAGGCAGTTCCGTCTCTAATCGGTTGTGTTCTATACTGGGCTCCAGCTTCTGCGTCCCTTAGGAGTTCACCGCTCATCAGGAAAAAACTGAAATAGATACATCCCGGGAATCAGTGCTTGAAGGGGTAGAAACTTTGGGGTATACCCTAGTCCCATGTATTCCCTCGGGCAAGACCACTGCTGTAGAGCACAACGCGACACGAACAGCAAAGGCGCATAGTAGCCCTTTCATTTTAGCGACAAGAGTTGAACTTACTACAACAAGGCTAAAAGGGGGAAAATACATGAATATTGTGACCGCAGACTGAAGGTGGAAGCAATCAGCCATGCACCCTCTTTACAATTGACTCCGCTGGAGACGAGCACAGAAAGGCAACGCTTCCACCGCCCGACGAATCCCGAAGGCACGAAAAAGAGTATTTAACCTGGAGCGGCAATTCAACATGTTCAATTTATGTAGCAGCTTCTTTGCTGTGAGGAGGAATTGCGCACGGGGGCAGCCGTCGCAATGGGCACGACGCTCAGGCGAACACGAGCCGAAGCAACCGCTACCCTCCTGACCCTGTACAGGATGCGTATTGACGAGCCACTATGGCATAAACAAGTATAATTAGTGTCGAATATTTATCTATGAGCCACTAATTCAAAGCGTATGGCCCACAGTCTGAAACGGACAGTTGCGCACTTCCTTCTGCCCAACGCAGGGCAAGCGCTGCGAAACAGAGCATGACAAGAACCCCAGAGACGCCCGATCCTACCTTCTTTCAAAAGCTATGTATTTCCATAAAGAACTGTTCAGAAGCGTTTCTTGTCAAAGAAAGCTTACCCGCTCCACGTCTCAGAGCAGCGCCAGGCAGCACCACGCCTTGCGTATGGATACGCAACTCGAGGCAATATGCTTCAAAAACAACTTTTATGAACGTAAAATGCCGCTAATTTTGTATTTTCAGCACAATATGCAAAAGCAGAGAAGACCGTGCCAGCCTACAAAGATGCCATCGAATGTACTTCTCGCCAGGCAATCAACGCCCGGTGTGCTGAGTGAGCCCCCAAACACAGTCTCTCGTAACTTTTCTTGCCCCTCACAGCTAAATTGGCAGATCCATAATTGAGAAAGAAGGATGATGCAAATTTCGAGCGTTCTAGGCCTCTAGAGCTTGTCTGCAGCCGCTGTCTTCGGTCGGGTGCCACTGGACAGATCTACCGTGGTTCGATAGCGGGGGTACAACAGCTAAATGAATATCCTCTTTACATTAAATTCTACTAAAAACATAAGCGATTTAACCAGAAAAGCAATTCAACTTCCAAAAAGTAAAAGCAACGGGCGCGAGAGGGAGAGGGGTGCTCGCGTGGGCCAATCGAGAGTGTGTGTGCGCAGCAGAAGCAGGGAGGGACGGAATGTGGGGTCCTGGTTAAGCGCGTCCCATGAAGAGCGTCCCTAATGAGTCATTTTTATGAATTGCTTTTGTAATTTGTTTTACTTTTGTCAAGCTTTCGTTTCGGACGTTGTCAGGAGGGCGGGAAGCGGCTCACGCGTCTGGGATTCGTGGACGCTGCTGTTGTGCTCCTTTTTGTTTTCCCTTTCATTGAATTTGTTTTGATCTGTCGCCTTCGAGTCGCGGGTTCCTTCGGCTGTTCATATTTCCGTTTGCTCGCGCCGCATTCTGTTTTCCTTTTGTCTCATTCCCCGCTCAAGTTCGCCGTTCAGGCCGCTCGAGACGTCAGGTGAGCGAGGCTTGAAGCTGCCGGTAATCCGAAAATGGAGGTGGATCGACGCATTCCGTCGGAATTTGTATATTCTTCTCCTGGCGTGAGTGCGGGGCCCGCTGACCTCGAGCCTCACGCGAGCCCGTACCTCTCGTCTGCAGCTCCGGCGCCCCCTCGACTGCCCACGGACCGATTTGCCTTCCCGCCCTCCATGGAGATGAGCTCTTTGCCAGTCTTTCCGCTGTCGCAGTCGGGTCCTTGGGCTGAGAAGCGCGTCTTCGTGACGGGGCCTCCCTCGGAGAACTACCAGCACTACGGCCGCGCGTCGCCTCGGGGGTGGACGGACATGGCCAAAGACTGGGTGAGCAGCTTCGTCGGGCCGCAGCAAGAAACGCCTTCCATGGTACAGCGCCCCCAGTACGAAAAACAAGATCCCAGAATGTTCCCTGGGCAGCTGGACGCGTTCGTGGTGGACGCCCCCCCACAGCCCGTCTACGAGCGCGTCGTGTATGTTCCCACTCAAGTAGATGTGCCTCCCGCGAAGCAGTACGTCCCCGTGCCTCCTCCTCAGCAGGTGATTGCAGTGCCGACGACTGCCCGCCCGATCCTTGTTCCTCTGGAGTCTGAAATTGTCTGCCGGGGTCACCCCTCAGATCGCACAGAGCTGTGTTTCGGCTGCACGATTCCTCCGCGCCAGGTCAAGTTCGATATAATTCGAGAAGAAACCTCGGGATGCTTCGGTCTGTGCCGTGGCCAGCGCTTCAAGGCCGTCTGCAGAAAATGCCGGGCGGTGATGCCCACGTGTGCGCAGTGCGGAAAGCAGTCGGTGATTCGGCATCCTTGAGACGACAGGCAGCGACGAAGTGTATTTTTGTGAAAAAATTTTAACTCTAAACAATGCAGGATAGAGCGCGAGATAGAACGAGCTGCGCCGACAGCAGGGATCTTGTGTGCCGCGGACGCGCCAGCGTCCGCCTTCGGAGGAGCTGTCTGAGCGCTCTTAGCAAGTGGCCTGAAATTGAAAAGGCTCTCAGTCACGAAAAGTAGGAAAAACCGGAGGGCACAGCGGGCAGGAAATGCGCGAAGAGAAGCGGAAACAGCCCCTGCTAGTGCATGTGCGCCTGTTCGCATGTATTAATAGCCGCCTTTGCCTCCTGCGTTCGAATTCGAAGGGACTGCAACTTTTTTTTTTCATAAGCAGTTAATAACTGATGCCGCTTTCAGCTTCATTTCGGCATATTCCTCATCGACATCGCTCATGATGATCACCGCGCCGCCAGCTCCCACGGAAACCTGAACGCGCAGCACGGAAACGAACTCTCTAGGCTAGATACACACACCTAGCTGTAGTATACTTCTTAGCTCAATCCTGCTGAATTCATTTCAGATTCCTTTCAGCCTCTAGCCCACAGGGGCCACTTCAAAGCGTCCCACGGGCTCCAGCAGTACAAGGTAGGTGGCGTTTGCTGGGGGATCTGAAAGGCATCCACTCTATTCTTCACATGCCAATGCTATTCTTCACAAATCATTTCCACACTCTTACAGCGGCCTTGCAGCAGCCGTTCAAATGACCCAGCTCATGCTACTGCAATTTATTGCAGACAGCCAAGCAGCGGGCGCTGGCGGTCAGCTGCAAGAGATCACTCCGGGGGAACTGAAATGCTATTCTCTGGCGATGCAGTGCACCAAAGAGGCTCCTGCATAGTTTTGCAGGGAGATTTCAACAGGATCCGAGCAAAAGAAACGGCACGGAGGGCTATCCTCGGCCTGTGGGATGCACTGCAAGCTCCAAGTTGCCTCACTTGATTGGAAGTGAAGACTGCAGTGCGAATAACTATGTTCAAGCATGCAGCTCCAGTGAGAGAGAAGAAACCGATAGTCCCACTGTAGATCCCTCGGGGTCCCGACTCACATCTGGCAGCAAACGCACATGATGTGGTTAACACAAACAACGCAGCAGCAGCAGGAGCAGCAGCTACAAATCGCGCAAAGCAGAAGTAGTGAGGAGTTGTTTGCCTCACTCGGAAGCCGGAAAGAAGCTAACTTTTACTGGCTCGCACCGATTGCCACGAGCTCACTGCGTTGCGTGCCGATGCAAACCCTAAGCCCCAAACCCTGCACCATCGACCCGAAACCCCAGACCCTAGAGCCTAAGTCGCGACAGCATCTAACAGCGCAGCTATTCGAGAGGACGCCGGAGTTTCGGCACTCAGGAGGTGACAGAATGAGAAGATCAGCGCCACGGACTTGGCAATAATGTTCATGGCGCTGACTTTGGGGGCCCCTGTCATGGAGCCTCCAGGAAAAGCTGCAATAACGGCGTCCACCGCGTCTTTGTCTTCTCTGAAAACGCACACAGTCGGAAGCTCCTTTGCGCGCATGCAGTCCCACCCCCCACAGGCAAAACTAGAGCAGCTGCAGCTCAGCTGAGTTAACAGGGCTGTGCTGCTGCTGTTCGCGGCCGCTGAAGCCGCTACAGCAACTGCTGCTGCCTCCGGCAGCAGCAGCTCCGCTGCTGCTGCTGCTGCTGCCCGCTGCTGCTGCTACTGCTGCTGCAGCTAGCTAGCTCTGGAACGATAAAAGGCTGGTTTCTGTGCGCAGGCCGCGCAGCCAGACAGCCCCAGCTAGCCCCACCGCAGCTGCCCCTGGATTACCGAGACCATGTGGTGCACTTTTGCATGCGTTTCCACGAATAGCAGCCGCGGCACTGACACCGAGCCGTCTGCGCACACGCGGCCTTTGCCCAGTCGCCCCCGCGAACACAGCCAAAGGTCTTAATCAGTCAAAAATCAGAAAACGAAATAATAACTATTCTAGATTGTCTCGATTCTACATTTATAAATTTACTGCGCAGTGAGAACTATGCCATCCTAAACGCAACTGAAAGGAACGCTCGCTGAGGCACATCAGCTGCCTGGCTCCGCCGCTAGCTAGCTGCTGAGCTAACTAGTTTCTGAGCTAGCTAGCGGCTGAGATAGCCATCTGTTCAACTAGCTAGCTGTTCAACTGGCTAGCCGCTAAAACGGCTACTTGCTGACCCAACTAGCTGCTGAGCTAGCTAGCTGCTGGGCTAGCTAGCTGCTGAGTTAGCCAGCTTCTGAGCTAGCTAGCCGCTGAGCGAACTAGCCACTGAGCTAGCTAGCCATGTGTCGAGCTAGCAGTCGCGGGGCGGGCGCTCACCGAGGTCGTTTCGGACTAAGTCCACAATCATTCGGTTCTCCGCCCTGTCCTTTTCTGAAGCCGCCAACTCCGCAGCCAGCGCTAAGTCCTCAGCCTTCGTGATGCCTCTCTTGCGAGTGCCCTTTATAGGCCGCGACTCCACCAGCCCGTCGGCCTGCACCTTCAGGAACAGTTCGGGGCTTGCGCAGCAGACGGCAAAACCCTCAGCAGCTCCAGGGGCCCCCGGGGCCCCTGGGGCCCCGGGGGGCCCCGCGGAGTCCGCGCATGCAGTGCGAGCAAGGGCGAACTCATCTGGATGGTACCTGTGCAGCAGCGCATGAGCCGCAGACACCTGCTCTCCCTGGGCCCCTTGCTCGGCAACCACAGCCCCCCAGTGCCCCGCACAGTCCCCATAGATTCTTTGCATGCATGCGCGCATGTATGCATGGCCCCGCAGGTCTCTTGCGTGCATGCGTGCATAGGGAGAGATGCATGCGGTGGCGCACCTGAGGAAAGCCCCAAACTTGGAGCGGTTCTTGTCGCGTAGCCGCATGTACATCTGAAGAGGCGAAGTGCTGCAGGCGCTGAACTGCGCATGCATTTGATCTGTGAGGCAAACTTCATAAGCATTTCCTTTTTCTATTTCCCGCAGCAGGGTCATGGCTGCCTCCCTATATTCTCCCTCTGTCAATGAAGCCGAAAAAGAAAGCTGCTGCTGCTGCTGCTGTGGCTGCTGCTGCTGCTGCAGTGGGGGCTGGGAAGCGAGGTCTTGCTGCGGACTGGGAGGAGGCCGGACATAAGCAGCAATTTGCTCAAGGGCCCCCAAAGCCCACTGGCGCTGCATCTCTGCTATGAACTGGAGTTTCTCTTGTGTCACTCTGCCTGCGCAGAGAGCCTCTAGCAGCGGCTCGCAGGCGCTGTCTTTGGCGGCTCTTCGAGCCTCCTGCTGCTCGTCCGCAGCAGCAGCAGCAGCAGGTGCAGCAGCAGCAGCGGGAACCAGCCAGACGAGGAAGCAGCGCGCTTCGTCGTTGTCTATAACAATATAGCGGTCAGCAAACACCCACAGGGAAATGGGGTAAGGCGTGGGCAGGGCCTCTTTGGAGTTCTTCTTAAGAGCCACGGGGGTCCCCCTATCCCCCTGGGCCCCTCGCAGCCTCTCAAAGGCCCTGTGCCGCAGCTCATAGGCGAAGTAGCCCACGTAGCCGCCCACAAACTCAAAAGGCAGCTCTGCAGGGTCAAGGGGACCCTCCCCCACTAGCTGCAGCGCTGCAGGGGCCCCCCTCTCCGCCTTCCCACCCGCGGGGTCCCCCCCCGGGGCCCCCTCGGGGCCCCCCCCAGGGGGGTCCCTCGGGGCCTCAGCGAGCCAGCGGCGAAGGCGCAAGGGACCCTGGAGGCTCGGGGGGCCTTGGGGGCCGTGGAGACCCCTGAGGGCCCCAAAAGGGTCCAGCGGGAGCTCGCGGAAGTGCAGACTTTGCGGGCTGGCCCCACAGGGGCAGCCCTGGGGGCAGCGAAAGAGGTGGCTGCTGCTGCTGCCCGTCCAGCTATGCAGCACCGCAGCACAGGGGCCCCCCGCGTCCCCCATGTAGCCAAATCGTGACAGCAATTCTTTTTCCACGGGGCCCGAGTCGGCCTGGGCTGAGTCCGCGCTGCTGCTGTCAAGCCAGAAGCTGGCGGGGCTTTTCCCGTAGAGTTTCCTGAAGAGCTCTCGCGAGTCCAGTACCAAGGGGGCCCCCCTTTCAGAGCCCCCAAACTCTCCTGCTGCTGCTGCTGCTGTTGCTGCTGCTGAGACTCCCAGCGCCACTTCAGCTACGTTCACTTCCCACACCGCCGCCTGCTCGCCCAGCGGAGCCACTGTGCTCCTCTCCAGCTGCGCAGCCCTCGAATCTTCTCTGCTGCTGCTGCTGTTGCTGTTGCTGTTGCTGCTGCTGCTGCTGCTGAGTGGACGCGGGGGCCCCGTGTGGCTGGCGCAGTGCCAGCGCTGCGTGAATTCGCTGAAGTTGCGAAGGATCTGAAGGCCGCAGGGAGTGCCAATGGACTCTGGATGAAACTGAATTCCAAAAAATGGCAAAGTCGAGTGTTGAATGGCCATTATGGCGTACGGCGAAGGACTGCAGGTCCACGCCGTGACTTTCAGGCACTGCGGCAAGCTGCGACACGCACACACACAAGGGGGCCCCCAAGGGGCCCCTGAGGGGCCCTCAAGAGGTCCCTGAGGGGCCCCCGAGGGGCCCCTGAGGGGCCCCCGAGACGCCCCTGAGGGGACCCTGAGGGGCCCCTGAGAGGCCCCTGTGGGGCCTCTCGGGCTCTAGCTGATTAGCTGGGATCCGCGGGACCTACAAATACCCCTGAGCGGATCTGAGGGGCCCCTGAGGGCCCCTGAGGGCCCCTGAGGGGTATTGAGAAAGACCCTGAACCCCCGCAGGTCCTCAGATGCCCTAATCCCGGAACTTTGGACTTTCAAAAGGAAAAATGAAAAGAGACGCTGCGGGAGTTACGGAGAGGTTCTCACCTCTCAGGGGCTATGCAAAGTGAGTGGTAGCGGGCAACAGGGGCCACCCGGGGAAGACCCCGAAAGAGTTCGGACTCAGGCGAAAATTCCACTGGAGAGCAGCGGCCGTGGAGGATTTCTGGGGCTTGCACGATCTGCAGCAACGTGCAAAAAGGACAAGTCCAGATCCACAAAAGATCTATTTGCAGGAGAAATTGGGTTCTCAGGAACAAAAAAGTGCCAAAAAACCGGAGGTCTGGCTTTTTTCCAATTCAAATAGCTAAGAAACTCTTACTCTGGCCCCTAAGAGGTGCCCCAGCCCCTGGTGGCCCAGGCAAACGCCCAAGACTGGCCGAGAGGTGCAGGAGAGCGCTGCAGCGGAAAGGCCGAAGTCTCTGGGGTTTTCGGGAGTTCCAGGCCCCGGGGAAACAACAATATTATCAATTTCGGGGAAAGCGGCGCAGACTTTGGCCCAGTCTCCCCCAAACGCGTCGTTGTAGACCACTGCAGGGGCAGTGCCGTTGGCTACAGATATCATTTGGTACAAGTTGTACGTAAACGAGTCATAGTTGTCTATTATGAGGGTCTTCACTGCTCGCCGAGAAGCAGTGGCCTCAGACTCCTTGTTTCTCATGGTTTTGAAGGAACTTTAAGGAGCTCTCTTGCCTCCTTCCCCGAGAGAGCCACTCAGTCGAGCCGCACAAACTGAACACGAAAGCCCAAGCCCTCTTCTTGCTGCTGCAGAATTGATGTTTTGCGGAAACATGAAACGGAAGTGGGACGCCTTGCCTGCAGATTCAATTGACAGCAGCAGCTGACACAGCGGGTCACATATGTCGCAGCACAAAGCCCAAGCTGCAAACGAGATTTCGGGGTGACTGCTGCTGTGCTCCTGCTGGGGAAGCCCGTGCGCCGAGGTGTGCCTTTGAGCCACTTTTCAAGTTCGTAAAAAGCCTTTAATTTCCCTGAAACTGAATATTTATCAGTGCAAATGAACCGCAGCGTTCAGTTGTCCAGTGCCGCCCCACAGTCCCTGCTCGACACATCTCGCGGTGGTCTCGAGGCGGACAGTCCTTCCTCGGAATGGTCTACCGTCGTTTTGAATTTCCGTCGTTGGAAACACTTTATTCAACTCAAAAAATTCAATAAATGCATTTATTACCTTGAGGGAATAAAAGAAACTGCATATCCTGCTTATCAAGACCTCAGCCGATGGGTAACCTGAATCGACTGCGTCGTACCTGGATTTCACAATTTTCCTTCAGGCCACGAGGGCCATAGTGGCGACTGTGGCAGTTTATTGAGGTCAAAATAAAATTTATGTTCCATTTAGTTCTGCACTTTGTTTGCTGAGCATAAGCATAGGAACAGAAAGAAGAATATTTCCAGCCGTGCCGGCATGTGCCAGGTTACCGACTACAAGACCTCCAGCTCCTATGGAGCAAAGTGCTGGATTTGAGGCAGAAAGCTGCAATAAACAAGTTAAAATATGTTGTTGAACGAAACTGCATTGGTTTTAAGTTTCAAATATGCAAATTAGCGCGGAGTCACGCCGCACGCTACACTGTAGCGCTGGGTGGCCTTTGATTCGACGATCTTGACTTAAATTAGGGAATTGCGTCTTAATTCAGGTGTGTAGCTTTTTTTTTAATTCTGGGGTGCATCGATGTTCTGTTTATGACTTCAAAGCTGCACAGTTCAGCGTGTAGCGACTGTACCAGCACAGCTGCTGCTTCTGGCTTGCGGCGACTAATTAGTATTTTGTTTCCGTTTCCCCTCGCAGCATTCGGCCACGCTTGACTCTTTTATTCTCCTTTTTATCTTTTAGCCAAGCACTAGACGACACATGAAATCTCTGGCGGGGAAACATGCCTTCTATGCTGCACTTCCTGGCCCACGCTCTGTTCACAATTTGCTGCCTAGTTCAAGTGGGCAGCGGGCGTTTGCCTGAGTTCTACCATTCCACCTCAGCAATATCAGCAGAACTTGAGAATCTGGAGGAAACTTGTCCTGGACTTTTCGTAGAAAGAGAGCCAATCGACAGCCAGCACTTCATTGATGTTGTTTCCCTCTCCAGATCTGAAAATCCCGTGTCGCACTTCTTCCTGTTGGCAGGAGAGCACGCCAGAGAGCTCATCACGGCTGAAAGCGCTCTTCATTTCCTAAAAGGTACTTTTTTAATATAAATTTAAATGTATCAAGCTCATTTCCTTTTGCAATGAGCCGCAGTTCTCTGTGGAGAAGAACCTGCACTGCGCAAGAAAGCGGAAGCTGCACTGGCTGACACTTCCTTCACAGTCATCGTGAACGGAAATCCGATATCTAGGGCTAAAGTTGAAAACGGGGACTTCTGTGTCAGTTGATTTTGAAATATAAAATCGCAAACGCATGCAATGAAGAGCTTTGGTGGCATGCATAGCTGCGGGTGAACGAGAACGCAGTAGACCTCAACAGAAACTGGAAAGGTATTCTTAATTCCGCTGCTGATGAGGCCTCAGACTAATTCAAAATTAAAAAAAATAAATTATTTCCCTGCAGCTCACTGGAGCTCGCGGGCAAGCACCCCAGAAACCTATCCCGGAAAGAAGCCATTTTCGGGTGCGTCAGTTCCTCTGTTGATTCTTTCTGAATTCCGACTGAGTCCCACAGAGAGGGAAACGCAAATATTTCGAAAAGCCGCGACAAAATGCAAGCCCGACGTGTTCCTTTCTGTTCATTCGGGTATATTTTCCTTCATTTTCCATTTTCGTTCAAACTCAAAAGCCCTTTTCAGGCACTCTGGGAATGTACATGCCATGGGCGTACAAAGCAGCAGAGGCTTCGGAAAATGAAAAGAATATGAAGTGGGTCTTTTTGTCCTTATTTGCTGCCTAAGTGTCTCAAATATCTTGCAAATAAATGTCTATTTGCACAAATTTGTTATGAATTGTGTTAAAATGCAAATAGAGCTTCATTTGCACAAGTTTGTTTTGACTTGTGTTGCCAGCGGAGCTGTGCAGCTCAAGCTCTCCTGAGCACGTTTTTGAACTTCTGCTGCGTGAATGATTTTCATTTGATTAGCGTTTTCTTGGTCTTCAAAATACGCAATTTTATTCTTTTCAGACGCGTCATGGAAGCTCTGGATGATGAGTTTTGCCAGTGTCCTTCAGGCAGGCTGTTGGATTATGTTCAACTGAGGAAATGAAGAAAACTGAATTTTTCAAATCTTCCAAACAGGACCAGCAGGAGAAAGGGTGGGATACCGCAGCCCGGGGACTTGTTTGGATTTTGTTTACGAGTTTCTTGAAGTCCCCTTTGCCTACGCCTTCGAGGTACTTGTTGTTGAATTGAACTTGCAAGGGAGCTGCGCGGCGGCGCGCGAAAGGCAACTTGAATTCATTTCCACCAACTCCAGATTTATGCCCCGCCTTCCCAACGCAAAGAACTTCTTCAAATGTGGCAATTGAAAAAAAGTTTCCACGACGCCTTCAGCGACTTCTCGGGGGAGCCGCGGCAGCGAATTCGGTTTCTGGAAAAGAGGAAGCAAGTGGCGCTGCAGCCCGACGAAGAAGCTGACTCAAGCAGTTGTTTTGTGGTTTGTTTTCATTTTTGTTCTTGTTTTCATTTCCACTTTGTCAGTTAATGCTGCTTTCCCCTCTTCACATCTGCAGCAATTCAACCCCACCGAGGGAGAAGACTTCCGTGAAACGCTGATGAACTGGAGCGAAGTAACTGAACAGTTCTGAAATTATTTTTAAAATAATCAGATTTAATTTATTTTAATTTGTTTTTATGATTACATTTACTCATCCAGGCTTACTTGGAACTCAGCCAGGTAGCCACCGAGGAAATCCGTCGCCCGAAACAGCAGATTGGCACTTTTTGAATTTCGCATTTTTGTTTTTTCTAAATTCAAAAAGTCATGAATGCATCATTCAAAATGTCTTTAAGGACTCTGTCTTTGAAATATAATTGAAAATGCCAAAAATTAAATCTTTTGAGCTTTTTTTCCCCGCAAAATCCACATTTCAAGTTTCGCAGAAACTGCGTTCCAGCTTTCGGGGGAACTGCACAGTCCGCATTTATTTGTTTCTTATTTATTTGCTGCAAGATAAGTTCAATTTTAATTTATATTTGAGAAAAAATTGAATTATAACAGAAGTGCACATTTGAATTTTGTTTCAGAAAAGTTGAATTTCAACAGTAGCACAGAGTGCAGAAGCTTGCCCAGTGCTACAGCAAAGAAAGCCTGATTGGGATTTTCTTTTGTTTCCTCTTTTTGAATTTTAAGTTTATGAGGGTTTATCCTTTTAAGAAAGAAATGCTGCAGTTGTGTCTGTTGCGCACCTTGGGCCACGTGAAAACTCCAAACCCTGCAGCAGAACACTAAACCCTAAACCCTAAACCCTCAGTTTCTGTTGTGCCTTGACACTATCTCAAGCGCATAATTCGCAAAGTGTGGCTGCCTCCTCTTCCCTTCGGCGAAGCCCAAACCCTACGCCCTAAACACCAAACCCTAAACCCTAGGCCTCAAACTTTACGCCCTGAACTCCAGACACTAAGCTTTAAACCCTGAACCCTAAACCCTAAACCCTTGACATAACCGAAAACCCTACTACTTGTTTTTTCTCCTCTTCTCTGCTTTCGCTGTAAGCGAGGTAAGCCCTCTGCTGGAGTGGCCTTAGCAAGCACCACGCTGAGGGTTTAGGGTTTAGAATTAGAGTATAGGGTTTACGAAATTAGGGTTTAGAGTTTAACACGGAAGAACTTCGCACTTTCTTCCTCGTGAGAAAACCCTTGAAGGCAGTTCAAAGTGCAGTCGTGGAAGCAAAAAGAAACGAAAGAAAAGACAGAAAAAATAAAGAAATGCAAATAAAAGAAAGAAACGAAATGTGCATTTTGTGCTGCAGCTTTTTCGGAAGTTGAAGGAAGAAGACTTGTCAAACAGCAGCAGATCAGCCAGTGGCTGGGTCCTGGATTTACACTTTTGTCCAAATGAAATCAGAACTAATGAATAAATTTGTTTCATTTCACTTTTAGTTTTTTGGAATTTTTTTTTAAATTGAATTGCAGCAAAAAAGGGAAAGAAGCAGCATCTCTGAAAAGTTCAAAAACGCTGAGGCCGTTGCATCTGAAAGATCTTGTGGGAAGAACTCTTTATTGTTTCCGAGTTCAGGAGAAACTACCGAAATAATGTTTAACAAGTAGTTTGTGCCTTTTACAAAAGAGGTTTTATCTGAATTTTGAATTTTAGCCGCTTCAATATGTCATATTAATGGTGAAATACAGATTTATGCAAATGTGTTAGTTGATAAATCACTTTTGAACTCTTTCCGTAGCAGTCCGCAACTTGCTATTCGTTCCTGGATGTGGCTTTGAAATAGATATTATGGGACAACTTTAAAATATTTTAATTAATTTTTTAAAGTCGGAAAATTCAGTTGTTGTTTGGAGAGAAGCTGCCAGATAGCTGTACAGACACCTCCATGGAACCTCGAGCCGGCGGCGAGGCGGCACCGGCGAAACGGCCTCATAAATGCTCCTTCTCTCTGAAATTCTGGAAGCTTTAGAGAAATAATAATATTTGCAATTCGAATTAACGCCGAATCCGTGAAAACAACGGGGAACAACTCGGGAAACCGGAGTCTGCAGAGGAGCAGCAGCGCATGCAGCCGCAGCCGAGAGCAACGAAGCACCAGCAGGGCTGGGCGGGGGCCCCCGGTGTTCGGCATCTTCTTCTTCCAATTAAATAGTTAAAAGGCAATAAGAGACTCTTAAGGGCCCTTATAGCTGCCTGGAGGGCTGCTGCAGAGCGCCAGCAAGCAGCAGCCGCGCAGCAGCAACTATCTTGCCCGCGCCCCGCAAGCCGCGGACCTTCTGCTGCTGCGCTGCTCATGAGAGGAATTTGCTGCAGCAGCAAAGTGGCTCTTGCGCGTCTCGAGTGGCTCCGCGCGTGAGAGGGGGCCGCTGCGGCGTACGTACACAGGGGGCCCCCAGCTAGCTCCGCCGCTGCTGCTGCTGCTGCTGCTGCTGCTGCTGCAGCCCCCCAACAACAACCCCACCAAATGCAGGGCTTCAACCCCCAGTCTCTCCGCCTCCTGGCGGCTCTTCCTCTAGACTCTTCAAAGTTGACTCAGGCCTTCGACTTGGACGACGTGGTCCAGCGGAGAGACCCCAACGAGTGCCGCAGGGGGCCCCCTGGGGGCCCCCATCCCCAGGGGGGCCCCCCGGGGGGCCCCTCTGGGGGATCCCACCCCCAGGGGGGCCCCCAGGGGGGCCCCCTCCCCCAGGGGGGCCCCCGAGGGGCCCCCCAAGGGGGGCCCCCTGCTGCAGATAGCCCCGGAGCTGCAGGGATGAAGGGACTTGTGATTCGAACTTATAGGGGCATTCAGGATTATTCTCAAGAGCGAGATCCTGGTGAGTTGTTTTGAAGAAAATAAAAATGACTTAAATGGAATTTTTTGAAGTTGAAAAATGTGGCACATTGCACTTGCGGTGTACGTACACCGCTGGCGGGCTTTGCGGGGACGGGAACATCCTTTATTACTTTTTTTTATTTTTTCATTTTTTAAAATTCTTTTTTAATTCTTTCTTCTCCTTTTTACTCGTTTGTCTCTTCTTTTGCCTCTTGTTCTCTCCTTTTGTCTCTTTTTTGTTTCTTTTTTCTCACTTTTGTGTCTTCCTTTGTTTTAATTTTTTGTTTTTTCTTTTTCTTTTTTTGTGGTTTCTGTTGACCGAGTGGGCTGAGACCTTTCAGGAAGAACTGCACTACCTGCTGCTGCTGCTGCTGATTTTGCTGCTGCTGCTGTTACAGCTGTTGTTGCTGCTGCTGCTGCTGTTTTTGCTGCTGCTGCCGTTTCTGCTGCTGCTGCGGCTTTTGCTCCTACCGTTTCTGCCTTTTCTGCTGCCGCTGCTGCTACTACTGGTGCTGCTGCTGCTGCTACTATTGCTGCTGCTGCTGCTACTATTGCTGCTGCTGCTGCTAATTTTGTTGCTGCTGCTGCTACTATTGCTGCTGCTGCTGCTACTGGAAATTTTCCTGCTGCTGCTGCTGCTGCTGCTGCTGCAGACCGCATGAATCCTGGCCCGGAGGAGGTGCAGGTGGCTTGGGAAGATGGGGCTGTTGAAAATGTCTGGTGTGGGGCTTTGAAGTTAGGTGAGTTAAAATTTAATTAATTTAATTAATTGAATTAATTTAATTAATTTGATTTATTTAATTTATTGTTTAATTGTTATTTGATTGTCATTTAATTGCTATTTAACTCTTATTTAACTGTTATTTAATTGGCATTTAAGTGGCTTCTTAAATGGCGTTTTAATTACAGAGTTCCTAATCTGTTGCTGCTGCTGTTGCTGCTGCTGCTGCTGCGGAAGTTCCTCGTTTGCTGCTACTGCATTTTTCGCCTGTGCTTCTGGCTTTCACTTCATTTCTTTTGCCGCTTTTCTCTTTTAATCTTTTAATCTTCAAATATTTTAATATTTTAATCTTTCAATCTTTTGATCTTTTAATATTTTTGTTTTTTGTCTTTCTTTTTGCTGCTGCAGTGGACAGGTGTCTCTACGTGGGAGACACAGTGCTGCATGCAGAGACTGGGGCTTTGGGGCTTGTCCTTGAGGTGCAGCAAACCCTAGATCTGGCCATTCCAGTGGAGGCCCTGCAGCAGCAGCAGCAGCAGCAGCAGCGGGGGCAGCAGCAGCAAGGGCAGCGGGGCCCCGCTGGGGGCGCCGCAGGAGCTTCTGCTGCAGCAGCAGCTAATGCTGCTTCTGCTGCTGCGCGGCTCCCCCCGCGGCTGCAGGGCCTCTGCAGCAGGGCCCTGGGGGCCCCCGCGCTGCTGCTGCAGCCGCCGCTGCTGCAGCAGCTGCAGCAATTCAAAGAGGGGCTGCCAGTCGTCAGCGGGGGCCGCGTCGGATGTGTCTTGGGGGGAAAAGTTGATTATGTAATTACACTCGAGTCCGGAGACGAATTCGTCTATGAAGACGGGTGAGCAAACTTGAAACAGCAGCAGCAGCAGCAGCAGCAGCTGTTGCAGCAATAGCAGCAGCAGCAGCTGTTGCAGCAGTAGCAGCAGCAGCAGCTGCTGCTGCTGCAGAAGTAGCAGCAGCAGCAGCTGCTGCTGCTGTAGCAGCGGCAGCAAGGGTAGCTCCTGCAGCTGCAGCAGCTGCAGCAGCAGCTGCAGCAGCTGCAGTAGTGGCCAGCGAGATCTAAAAGGATCGTGAATCCTTTTATCCCTTTTATCGCGTTTTCTTTTTCTTTCTTTTTCTTTCTTTTTCTTTCTTTTTCTTTCTTTTAATTTCTTTTAATTTCTTTTCATTACTTTTTAATTTTTTTTTTGCTGCTTGAATTCATTGCGGAGTATCTGCACTGCATTTGCTGCAGCGGCGAGCAGCAGCTGCAGAAACTTGCAAAAGATAAAAATGAAGAAAAGAAGTGAAAATGAATGAATAACAAGCAATAAATGCATTAAAACAAATAAAATTGAAACAATAAGCGAATTAATTGCAAATAACTCGAAAAAAGTAAAAAAGATTTCCTTTTTTCTGAACTTTTTGCAGCATGGAAGGCATCCGCCCAGAACCCAGAAGGGGGCCCCCCATAAGTTGGATTTGTGGTTTATATCCTTCTCTTCCGGTGTATGCAACTGGGGAGTTGATTCGGCATTTCCAGGCCCAAGTGGAAGGTGCAGCAGCAGCAGCAGCAGCAGCAGCAGCAGCAGCGGCAGGCAGCAGCAGCAGCGGCGGCGGCAACGGCAGCGGCAGCGGAAGCCAGAATGCAGCGGACGCAAGCAGACTCAGTAGAGGTGATACTCCACGCAACACAGCCTCTAAACCCTAAACCCTAAACCCTGAATCGTAGGGTTGCGCTCGCAGCATCTTGCTGCTAGTGCAGCGTTTGGGCTCAAGGTTTAAAGTTCAGAGAGTAGGGCTTAGGATTTGGGATTTTGGATTTAGGGTTTAGGGTTTAGGGTTTAGGGTTTAGGGTTTAGGGTTTAGGGATGTTCGCCGTAGATTTGCGGTGTCTGCCCACGTGGCAGGCTACGTGAAGTCCTTCGCCATCCGCAACATACGAGTGGCTTGGCAGCTGCAGGGGCCCCTAGCAGCAGCAGCAGGTGCAGCAGCAGCAGCAGCAGCAGGTCCCCAGAGGGCTTTGACGCCCTGGTCCGAACACTGCCCCAGCGAGCTGCTGCCGCTGCAGCAGCAAGTCTTGCGTTTGGGGCAGCCGATTTATGTGGACATTCGCCGGGCTTTGGGTTTAGGGGGGGCCCCCCGGGGCCCCTCTGTAGCAGCAGGTGCCCCAGCAGCAGCAGCAGCAGCAGCAGCAGCAGGGGCAGCAGCAGCGGACCCCGCCGCGACGGCAGCAGCGGCTGCAGCAGCGCCAGAGAAGCCCGCAGCCGCAGCAGCAGCGGCCTCTGCAGCAGCGGAGAACCCCCCGCCCGCGCCAGCAGCAGCAGCAGCAGCAGCAGCAGCAGCAGCAGCAGAGTTTGGAGAGGCGGAGTACACGGTGGGGGTGGTGGCAGGAGTGCGGACTTGCTGCAGCGTGCTGTGGGAAACAGGAGTTGTAGAGACACAAGTCAGCAGCAGCAACTTAACTCCTGCTGCTCTTGACAGAACTCCTCTGGACCCCGAAGACTGCAGGCTGGCCCCGCTGCTGCTGCCCCACATGCTGGTGCAGCGCCGCCCGCAGCAGCAGCAGCAGCAGCAGCAGCAGCAGCAGCAGGGGGGCCCCTGGTGGCTGCACCTACACCAGGGGGGCCTCCAAGTGGGGCCCCTCTCTCCCTTAGACCCTCAACTTGCTGCTGCTCAGCGCCGCAGCGAAGCAGCTCGGGTGTACAGACAGGTGGCCTTGGCTTTGGGAACTGCAGACAATGCCCACAGGGGCAGCAGCAACCACGCAGCTTTGCTGCAGGCAGCAGCGCAGCGCAGGCAGCAGCAGCAGCAGCAGCAGCAGCAGCGGGGGAGCGTCGCGAGCAGCGGCAGCAGCAGCAGCAGCGGGGAAGCAGCAGCAGCAAACCAACCCGCAAAGGCCGCAGCTGCTGGATGCGGAGAAAAGGGGGGGCCCCCTGCGGA